GAACCCTTTGACAAATTTGTAGGCAATATTTGTGTAAGATAGACAGACAAATAGACGGACATGTTTAGGTGTATTTCGAATCGATAACTGGTCAAAAATTTATATAATTTATGGATTTTTAAAACTTACTACTGCACGTCATATATGTATTGAAAAAAAAATATTAAATTTTAGTATACTGTGCAATTCGATAGGAGTGGTTAATTTTAATTTTTTTTTTACTACAGCACCGTCACCCACAGAATATATAGTAAAATTTTTGTAGATTTATCTGCTGCCGTTTGTAAATAATGAGTAAAAAGCCAATTTTTGAGGTGCTCTCAGTTTACGTGATACTATAGGCATACCCATGGACCGACTTGATCTATTATTAATATCAATCTGCCTGAAAGAACTTCCAGTATTTGGGCCCAATTTGAAGCGTATAGATTCATATTTGCGGCCAAGAGAATGTTGACAACAAGCATTACATATGCGCCGACATGCTTAAATCGACTCAGAATTTGATGCTGATCAAAAATATATATATATATTCTGTGGAGTCTGTGATATTTCCTCCTGGCCGTTCCAAGCTTGCAATGAATTAAAATGGGCATACCCATCATTCTTCGGCGATGGGTATAAAAACCAATTGCAGTTCATAAAATTAATAAACTTGAAGTCAAAATAGTAGCTAATGAATTATAATTGTACAAGAATAGAAATTTGCCATGATTAACGCTTATAGTGTACAATAGATAGAGTGGCAATCGTTACATGTATCCTTATGTGTGATTGTTGCGTTTTGGCAAGGAAGCTTACTCCTTCGTCTCATACATAAGCTATCGTGGCATATAAGCTATTGTCATAATATGACCTTATCAACATGATTACAGAACATGCATATAGGCTGCCTTACAAAACTAACTAATTTAACTTAGAGTAATTGAAAAACAAAACAGATAACAGATATATGATATTTTTATAAATGCATCCTTAACGACATGTAACAATGCATAATAATAATTATAAAATTCTTCAAAATTTTACGCTAATTTGTGGGAATCCATCTTCACTTCTCCATCTGATTGGAATAAAAGGTATAAATTTTAAATTTTTTTTTTTTTTTTTTTTTGTAGATAGGATTTGAATTTTGAGAAACATCAAAAAAATAAAAAAACGATTGGGTTATTCATGCCGATCATCATATAACTTATTTTGTAATGTCCATTGCAGAGATTTAAAAAATCGAATGTCAAATCGCCAAAGATTGAATAAATTGAATGAGTTGCTTATCATTTTATGATTCGACTTCTGGTCTTAATTGTTGATAACCTTTTTTATACCCATCACCGAAGAGTGAGGGATATATTCAGTTTGTCAAAACGTTCGCAACGCCCAGAAGCAAACATCAGAGACCCCACAAAGTATTTATATTCACGATCACCATCATGTCCTTCTAGCCGCAAAAATTAATATCGACTTCATATTTGTCAAAAACCTTGAAAGTGCACGCACGTAGGTTGATATTAAAAATGGCCCAAATCGTTTGAACCACACGCCCACACCACTGCGTAAACTGAGAACAACTCTGATTTTTAAAAGGAATAAAAAATCGTTTGTTTGCTCAATACTCAGAAACTATAGCCGATAAAATCACAAAAATTTTAACACATAGTCTGCAGGTGATGGTGCTGCAGAGAAAAATTGGCAACATCTACCCAATATTATAGTGTAGCAAAATTTACTTTTTTTTTATAATTTGAAAAGGCGCAGAAATATGCTTCAAATACTCCAGTAAAGTATGTAAATTTTTTGGTCAGTCTCAAATTTGGAATCCATTTAAATATGTCCGTCCGCCTGTCTGCTTAACTTTGCAGTATCTGTGGTAAGTATTCTCTCCAAGTTTGCAAAAGATTTTGGAAGTGACTTAAGCTTTTCAGGGAGAAGCCTACAGCTCCCGCACGCCTATGCGACAAAAACTTTTATTTGGAAAATACAAAAAATCGGCCGCGTCCACTCCGTATTACGTAGCATGAAAATTTAGTTCTTTTACTTTATTGTTTTTTTAGCGCAACGGTAATGAATATAAAATATTCGGTCATGACCGAATTTAATTTTCCCAATTTGTTATCTTTCAAAAAGATTGAATCTGTTTTTTTTTTCGCAATCACAAATCCTGTTGGCTTGCTTACCGTTACGCTAATCCAAACAAGCGTGTCATCAGCTGTTATCCTTAAAACAAAGTTTCGCTATAAGTGCATGGACCTCCTGGGATCTCATGGGGTCTAATGTTATCTGCTGCATCACATAAACGAACTTTTCCCCTCTGATAGTTACTTACCATTTTTATAAGATAAGAAGAGAAGACTTGTTTACTTAATAATGATTGCGTAAAGCGAAACAGTGTGGCACCAAGGATGCAGCTGAATATTTGGAAGAGTTAAATTTGGAAAAACTGCTGTAGATTTATTTTCTGTCCCACGTTCACGAAAACTTACAGCTAGGTCGCGTCAATTTGATTTAAATAAGTCATTCACAATATTAATTATTGCAAACATATACAACACAAATGGAACGACAATAGTCGCATAATACCGATTAGGATAAGAACCATTAGGATAAGAATACGTTCAAAGTTTGGAGACTGTGTGCTCACTTACGAAGCGTACGAAAAACACCGTGAATATAAAGGAACAAGTATTTCTCTATATATATTTAGGCCCGTTTTGGCTGGTCCGATCTGAAATATTGCGGAGATAAAGAAATAAAATTTATTTTTATGTCAATTTCAAAACTTAAAGCCAACGGTTACTTGGAAATTGCATATTTTCGTAGCCATGTATATGGAGTTAATTCATTTCACTCAAAAATCTGTGCAGATATGTGGAACTTTTCACCAAAACTTGAAAGAAAATAGTTATTTCGATGCTTGTTTATTTGTATTTTGCTTCCAAAAAGTTTACATTCTATTCTCCGCTTCAACATAATAAAACGATATGTTAACGAAGTGTTATAAATGTCCAAGCGACCTGCGAAAAGAGAAGAACTGAAATGAGAGATATGTCTTAAGCCTGAATGCTCTGCTGAATTTTAATAACTCAACCGTAAACATGATTATTATTTGCCGGTATTTTCATTATCGTCTATTTGTTGTTTGTTTACTTTTGAAACTTATCCAAAAAAGAAAGAAAGAAATTAAGAGTTAAAAGAAGAGGTAAGTGGTAAGTGAATACACGAGTAAGCAGTTGATTTAATCAATCAATATATACGTTTGGGTTCGAAACAAGTGTTTAAAATAGAAGTAGTTACCAGTTGCTACTATCAATAAATTGTGTATATTTCAAGTATCAAGCCTTTGCCGGGGTCAGTTTTAATAAAGTACTCTCTCTATCAGCAATAATATTAGACTTAAACTTGTTCTTAATTTTAATTTCATAATAAACTGTTATTTTACAACAATTACAAACTTAAGCATTTTTGTTGTGCTTATTTTATAGTTAACTTACTTTTAAATACATTTTGTATATTAATTTAATATTTCTTTTAAATCAAGGTCATTATTTTTCAGAATTCTGTTAATTCCCCATATTTGCCCAATTGCAGAAAAGTCGCCCGAACGCAGAGAACTCCCACATTCTCTCTCTCTCTTCTCTTTTTCTCACACTCTCCATTTCTGCTTACGTCTCTGCAAACGAAATTACTATCAGCGATGTTAAATGCGGAGTAATTGTAATTGGTACCAATGTATGTGCAAATTTTACAATGTGCGACGATCAAGATATCAATCAATAGATGATGAAATACTTCACTTTATTGTTTCATTTGTAAGGCGTGGAAATACCGTTCAAAACTATAATACATACATTCGAACATATATTCGTAGGCGTTATAATATTCAAAGTTGATTTGGCCATGTCCGTCTGCGGATATTTTTTTTTATTAGAATTCTTAGTAAGAAAAGTGAAAACTGTACCTAAACCTATAATCTATAAGTTAAATAACTGACGTGATTTATATTTTTATCTGTGCATATATATTATCAGTTTATATATTGAATAGCCTATGATTAATTATGAAGTTATTGATTACGAAGATCGGATCGGTATTTACGATCGTTGTAATTAAAAACAAATTTTTATGAACAATTTAGCTGAAACGTATATCAACTAACCATTATTTTCTCTATTTACGTGAATAATTAGATTGAATTACACAGGATGTACGCAGCGATAAGTTTGTTGTCCAAAGAATCTTGTCGAACTATGTCTCGTTAAATTACGATAAACTGCTTTCTTTAAGAGTTCATTAACTTTTATTAGTTATAGCTTATTCCGTTTTGTGGTCAGAAGCAAGTAACAGAGAGCCTGATGAAAGGGCCGACATGTATGACTTCGTGACTATTTTTTGACTTGATATGTTGATGTCATAAAAAGATAATGCACAGGATCGAAAAGAAGGATATGTTAACGATAGCTTTTCAGAGTGATATTAATTAAAGTGTTTTATTAAGTACTTTTTAGTACTCAAATAGTACCATTTTCAAGTAAACAAAATTGAGTTTCATCATCCCTGCAGGATAGTCGTCATTATCTAGTTCTCTCAGAAGAGTTGTTTACTTTTTATCATTATTCAGCCATTTTTTGTTTTAATACAAGAGAAACATATGCTGTGAGTATCACGTTGTTGTTGCTTTGCTGCTATAACTTGTTTTTTGTTGATGATTTCTTCTAGTTTGTTAGCGTTTTTCAATGCGTTTGGTTGTTTTAACGGGTAGTCGGGATGTGGATGATGTACGCTTTCAAAACATTTCTTACTTAAGGTCGTTTAACTCTGACGTTGCATAGAGGGAATTTGGCGCTGCTTGCGGAATTTTAAACAAAATGCCGTCGGTTTCTTAGCAAAGCGTAATGAACAAAACTAAACAAAAGTTAAAAATTTATAACAAAATTAATATAAAATTTAATATAATTTGAAATAAAAAAAAAAATAAATAAATTAAATAAAAAATAAATATATATATATATATATATATATATATATATGTAAAAGGCCTAAAGCTCTTAGTAAAATTTATTTTGCGAAAGAATCAGTTAATCAGTGAAAGATATCTTAAAAAACAATTTGTTTTGAAAATAAATTTTTTCGAAAAGTTAGTTTAAAAAAGGAAAAAATAGAAATAATTACAAATATATATAAAAAGGGCCAAAATGTCTCATAAAAATTTCCTGTTTACGATGAGAACCTATACAGAATCTTATCTGTTGTGTATATGTGCCATAATATTTTTGTGTTTTACTTTGTGCCAAGCTGTGCATCGCTACGATCAGTCTTCTGCCCTCGAACCGGATATTCCATATTATCGTACATCGAGTTCAGGCGAAGTACTTGGAATATCGTCTGCTGATACGTTTCCCCATCATAATCGTTGCGAACCGATCACTATTTCAATATGTAAAAATTTACCGTACAATATGACTATTATGCCGAACTTAATTGGTCATACGAAACAAGAAGAGGCAGGTTTAGAAGTGCATCAATTTGCTCCATTAGTTAAGATCGGTTGCAGTCCGGACTTGCAATTGTTTTTATGTTCGCTTTATGTACCCATTTGTACCATACTTGAACAACCGATACCGCCATGCCGATCGCTTTGCGAATCCGCTCGGATTTGTGAAACGCTAATGAAAACTTACAATTTTAATTGGCCAGAAAATTTGGAATGCTCTAAATTTCCTATAAACGGCGGCGAAGCTTTATGTGTGGTCGAGAACACTACTTCATCGACACCATCGCCGACGCGCGCCTTACCGAAAGTAACAACGCGAAAAAATTATGCGGGCATGGACAGCCCACACCGCGATATCGGTTTTGTATGTCCCGTTCAATTGAAAACTCCACAAGGCATGGGTTATGAGTTAAAAGTTGGCGGCAAAGTAAGTCACATTTCTTACATCATTACTATTATACCTGTTTAAATGTATCGCTATGTACGATTGGCATGATTAAATACCTTACGATTCTCATTATAAATTCAAAGCTATGAAAATCTTTAAAGATATAACCGGTCACCGATTCTTTGTGAATTAGTAAAACATATATTCTTTGCACTTTTTCACAACATAAGAATTAAATCTTTGTTCTTCAATAATCTGAGTAAAACTACCTGTCATCCATTTTGTTTCGTTACATCCTTTCTAATAAAGGATGTGAATGGTTAGCATTATGCCAAATATCTTCAATTGACGCGTAAACCACGTTTTTTTTTTTTAATGTTTTGCGTTAAAGATAATGAATATAATAGACGCGAATAATCATATAAAATATAAATTCTTATGCCTATCAACGAAGAAGGAGGGTATGTTGATTTCGTCATTCTCTTTGTAACATGGATGGGAAAACAAAACAAAATTGATAATTAGTTAATGAATATCTGATAGCCGGGAAAAGTTGAGCTAAACGTGAGTGAACGTACATTTTTCGTTAGTTTTTATAGTCATAACTGTAGTAATAACTGTGTGTGAGAAGACCCCAACATCTCTGGAAAAAAGTATAAATTGCGCAAATTTTGCGAGAAATTTTATTAAAAAATTCATTTCTTGGCAAATTCACTATGTTTTCATTATTTGACCATACATTTGTTATGCTTCGATATCCAAGATTCGTTCCAAAAAGGACGATCAGAGTGATCGAGATGATCATACGGGGGAAAAGATGTTTAAAAATCTCTCAATGCTTATGTCGAGGCTAACGCAACGTGATTCGGTAAGAATTATCTCAAAGTACGTAGTTACAAGCGTCTAGACAAAGATTAAATATTTTCTTATGCAACCCTTATTGTATATGCAACACACACAAAACAAAACTGGGTTGTTTTTGAAATTTTCCTTTTCACTCTTACAACTATTCACATATCCATCGCGTATGCCTGTTAGGATTTATGACTTTTTCAATCTAATATTTATTTAGGTATCTTGTACGTACACAGTTTTTATTATTTATATTTATTTATTTATTTATTTATATATTATTATATTTATATATATATATATATATATATTTTATTTTTTTGGTTTTTCTTCAAAATTTCTATCCTCAAGTTAAACGAAATATTTTTAGTTATACACAATTGCCGAAGCGGATGATGGCATCAGAGTTGTTACAAGTCAGAGTTATTGTATTGTATGTATATCATTTGTATAACGCACAAATTGCTATCATCAAGTAAATGCGAGCAGAGATCAATCTACAAAATAATGTGGTGTACGATGTAAGTGAGTGCATGTGCGCGGAATGAATATTTATGAAACAACAAATATTCAATTTTCATTTTATCCAGCGATGAAAATGTGATGAATGCTTATTTATTCATTCATAATAGGAATGTATCTGCTGCTGCTAATGGCTGTTATTAGTAATGCGTTTATGTGGGTCTGATTATCAATTATATTGTTATGCAATCATATTCTGACATGCGGCTCATATAATTAGAGGATTAACATCAAATACGAATAGAATCGCCTTCGCTCAGATAATATGGAAGAGAGAGAATAAATAAATTTTGTATTAGCCTATCTAAGTTCTTTCAAATTAAAATATCTTTATGAATGGAAAAAAAAAAAAAACAAGTTCGGTTTTTATAAAACTCCGTCGGCGGTTAACGAAATAAATAATTGTGTACAAATGAAAGGCGTCGTTTAACTTATAAAAGATTTTTTTCTCTTTGTTAGCTCCGTACTGTGCTAAAAATTTTAAGTTTGGTTCACTGATCGAGTGCTTATTGATTGTAAAAAGCTTAACTATTGTGAATTCACTTGTGGAGCACACTTTGTTACCAATTTTAAATTAATTTGATTTCATGAAGTAAATCGTAAATTTTCGCTTACACACAAAATCGTTGCTGTTAAGGTATTTTGGTTTGGTAAATTATCGAAACCTTTGATACTTGGCTTGATCCCAGCTTGATGATGTCTTCATCAGGCAGTCCTGTCTTTATCAAATTCATACTTTCCACACTATAATAATAACTAACCTTTGTGGCTTGGCCTCAAAAAACTTTTCCAAAACGTGTCATATTGCAAGCAAAGGAAATAATTTCAAAGCTTTTTCATTGATTTTTAATTTTAATTAATTTTACAAGCAGCCCTTCTCTTGTTTATTAAATGGCGCATAATTCGTAACTAAATCAGTTTCATGATCAGGTGACTGACAAAGCCATTAGGCACAGGTAGTTAAGAAGTAGCAAGCTAATGTGCCAAAATTCGCAATATGAAGATTCCATCCGAGGTAAGTGTTTGAAATCTTATACTTACGCGTAAGACTGTGCGTCATTAGGATAAATTGAATATCCATTTTTTACTTTTATAAAAAACTAAGACATGTCCACGGGTGCGAAGAAATTGATGCTTCTATAATATAAAAAGAATATATTGGCAGAAGTTGAAGGAGTTTGGTCCTGCATCCGACATTGGCAATTAGCGTTAGCCATTGCTTGCGGCACATCCTAAACGATCTCTAAATTAGACTTTTTCGATGACATCTCTGCAAGATCGTGATAAAGTGAAAGATTCAGTTTTTTTCGATCATGAAGGCCTCTTAACTTTCTATAATAACTATATAATAACTTTTGCGTTTTTATCAATTTCCCAAAATGGGAACGGACAGGGCGCCAGTCCCTAAAACAGGTAAAAAATAAAAAAATCAAGTAAAGCAAGCAACCGCAAATCTCAACTTTACATGTTGTATAGAATCTTTCTCTATAAAGCACAAAAATGAAGTTCCAACCATTTTGACAAGGGGCGTGGCAACATTGTTAACTTCAATTCTTGAGCAAAATGAGTGACTGTACATGAACAATAAATTGATTGCAAAACTCCGTAGGATAAATCATTGACACAAAATGAAATATATTTTATGACTCTAAAGGAAGTACGTGACGAAAGTGAAAACAGTATAGACCTCGAAAATAATAATTAAACGAATTTATATATAATGATAATATATGAAAGGAGGCCAATGCATAATTGTATGAATTTTGCTCAAAACTACGTTTTAATCGCCAATTAAGTCAGCAGCCGCTGGAGTTACACAATAGGGATCTGAATTTCTTTGCACTATGATATCTTAAAATGTTGGTTTCATCTGTCATACTCTGACAGAATATGTAGCCCGTTTACCTTCAAACGAATTAACGACTTAAGAAAAGTTACAAAAAGAAAAGAAAAGAACAACATCGTGGTGAAATCTTTCTGCCTAAATTTGACGACACCCACAATTTTCGTCAGAACAAAGGACTTGAAAATTCTTACAACGAAATCCAAGTGGATTTGCTATTGCAATTCATAACGAAAAATTTGCGTTGTCTTAGTTTTACGAAAAGGACAGCTCTGTGTACGACCTAAAGGAGCGTTGAGTAATATATCATTTAATCAAGGCCGCTACCCATGAAACTCTTTTACTTTATTAAGATGGAAGTATTTAAGATAATAAGTGAATGAGCATTAAGTGAGAATAAACCTAGAAGTGACAATTTGTTTTATACGGCGGCGATGTGATGGCAGATTTTCAGGTTTGATTGGTTTAATTAAGTGCAACACAGATAAATTAAAAGGAAGTTTAGCCTCGAATATCACAGCCCGATCAAGGAATGAATCTATATGGTCCAATCGCGAATGAATTCTCTTATGAAAATGGTAGATGTTCGCATATTTTTTTTTTTTTTTTTTTTTTTTTTTTAATGTTATAGAAAACCAGATTGGAGAACATTGTGACAGCGTTGCAAATTTACAGAGTCAATCATGTGAGTTTTAAGGCGTTTCCGTGTATCAAGATATGAGACGAGGGGTTGTTAATGCATAAAATAAACAGAATTGGTCTCAGCAGCAACTTTGGAAATTCACATCTTATTGTAGGAACATGAGTAAAACATTTTCACCAGGTGTGAAAGAAAATCGGCCAATAAATCTATAGCCTGCTGAGTTAATTCGATCAAAAGCGTTATTAAAGTCAATGTGGCGTAAGACATCTGTCTGCGAGCGAGACTAACAAGCCTTATGATATGCAAATTCTAAAAGGTTCATAATGTTTGATCTGGGTTGGTAAAGTGCATGTTGGTTAAGGGGGGAAATTCACGTTTGGTGATGGAAAGCCATTTTCCGAATAACATTTGATTCGAACATTTGCCACAGAACATCGAAAACAAATTTATTAGTTGGAAAATAACACATTATGACCATTTGACGGCCGGCGCCATATGCTTCAATTTTCAGGTGAAGGATGGATAGGTACACATTTTCTGCAAGGCTAAAAGATCTTTTTGCACTCAGTTGCTTATAACTTGTAATAGCGGGACTTTTTCACACACACACACACACACACACAACAGGGGTTTCAAAAGTCGTTAATCAATGATTCCAAAATTATTGATAGTTTTATTTAAAAAAGGAAAAAAAAAAAAAGAAAAACTTTATTTAAAATTATTTCAAAGTCTTTATCTTATAAGGTGTTATGTTATGAATATTTGTTGATAACTGTCGACAATATCTGTAAATTGAAAATGTCAACATGTGCTACAGTGTATGGCTGGAGGTTGCCACTTAACTTGCAGTTAATTTTGCCACTTCAATATTGCAAGCTGCAAACTGCGGGGACGGGAACGAAAAGGTTCGCAAAAAAGAATTATAGCCCACTATCGGTTACTATGAGAATATGCAACACCACCCAGCAACAGCAGCAGCAGCAGCAACAATGACAATAAGTAGCACATGTTACACGTTACACATGGTGGTGGTGTTAAGCAGAGGCATTTACCATATAGCAAAAAAAAAAAAAAAAAGGCAACAAAATCAGTGGTTGTGTTGTAACGGAAAACAGACGAAAATGAGGTGCAGCAGAGAGAAAAATTTTAATAATAAACAAATTTATTAACCTGACTGTA